TTTTTTTTTTTTGTAGCCACCCTTGCATCTGTTGGTTCGATATTTCTTTTCTGAAAGGAGAGATTGCGCGACATAATTTTCATAGGTGAAGTGCTTGTATATAAGGGATATAAGGAAAGAGAATATAAGGGATATCAAAGAACAACGTTGAAAACAAGTATTTCTGGAGGAAAATTATTTTTACATGACCAGTACTACATTGGTGACTTACTGGTCCTTGAAGATCCTGAGACGTCCATGAGGCAGCATCTTCAGCATCATCCTACACAACGAAGATTAAGATTGTCTTTTGTTATTGTCAAAAAAAAAACCCCAGAGACATTAGTTTTTTTATGTCTGTCCTCTTATTGACGACAATTTCGTCACCACATCGTCAAAGTAGTATGTGTCTGTCCTTTTATTGACAATAAATTTCGTCATCACAGCCGAGTGGAACCGCATACTACTTTGACAATGTGATGACGAGATTTATCGTCAATAAGAGGGCAGACACATAAAAACTGATGTCTATTTGTTATGTCGCCCCACCCCATCCTCCTTGATATTTTTTAGCACCCCTAGATGGTACCGTATACCTCCTCTAGGCTAATGACCTCAGCATTATTCGTATCTAACGCATCATCATCACTGTCCAGGTCCACCGATCCATTTCGCTTCTCAACATTTTGTATTCCTTCGATTGCCTTACTGTAACCAGGGTTCAAACTGAAAAAAAATCAGTTCCAACAATCCATTAGGAAGGGGAATCTCATGCATGCGATCTGAGTAGAGGGACCAGATATTACTACTGGCCAGATAATCTCCTAACGGTTCAGTTATTGAATAAATAACCCACTTCTGGCTGGTGGGATATCGTCTGATAATGTCCGACAATGAGAAATAGTCCAAAAGAACAGTTTCCCTAAAAGCAGAGCTTCGAGGGCATATGTGATATTTTGAGGACAATTTCTCCTCCAAGGACATTATCAGCCGATAGCGTGAACGAAAGGGGTTTTATTTATATTTTAACCAAAGACTTCACTGGAATGGGTTCCACAAACTAACACGCCAATTTATGGCATCGTATGAACCACAGCAAAATATAAATGACTTCGAGTCAGCTGACACGTCCCAAATTTCATAGAAACGTAGTAGCTTTTACATATTTAGTGTTATTGTTATTTAAACAAGCGCTTGGACGTAATCTTGAAAATTGGATCTTGCGGATTCTGGGATAGGCTTCATTCCTCCTCTGCTTGCCAATCGATTAAACAGAAACATCATTAAGTCCACTGTGTCAAGCTGCCAAATTTTGTTCCCAACGTTAAGAAATTTCTTCTTCCTACAKATTTCATATGGCGCAGAAGAACACTGGTGACTCCTTTGCACCACAGTCATGTTATCAGGTTTCCCTCTAGCATGCACCAAATAACCTTTAAGACTCTTAGTACCTCTTGTATGGCCTTCTTATGCCTCTCTGACGTGTGATGGAGATGATGGAGATCTCGTAATATCCCGCCAATAATTGGTAACCCAGTGATACGTCACGAAAAATGGCGTACTATTATTAGTCCTTCTGTCAGAAAGTGGTTTGAGCGCCCGCTCTCTCGAAACTTTCCTGGCCCTTTGGATCTGTTGCCGAATAAAATCTTCACTGTATTTTTGCATCCCCAAGGATGAAACAATCTATAATCTTGACAAAAAGTGCCATTATCATCAATAACAACATCCAAGTAGTTCACTTTTTCTTTTGAGCAGTACCAAGTAAACCTAATAGTTTCGTGTGCGCTATTCAAATAAGTCAAAAAGTTCTTGAGCTCATCCTCCCCGTCCGTCCACATCATGAATATTTTATAGGGTGTCCATATGGTATGTGGAGGTACAACCTCACGAAGTCAATAGTAACTAGAATAGCTCCTTCTGGAAGCGTACTGACCGATCTCATTCAATTTCCGAAGAAAATCATTAGTGTCCTTAAGGTATTAGGATACGCTTACGACCACTATGCGCGCAAACTTAAATAACGCGCTGGCTTTATAGTATAGCACAAACAAAGTATACATTTTCTGAAAGCTGAGTAAATATAGCTTATGAAGAAATCTTCAAAATACGATTTTTTAAATTGTTGTTCACATTATTGTCCTCGAAGCGAAATTTGACCATGCCTCAGTGAAAACGTTAACGGACACGTACATTTTAAGCTATGTTTGCGAAAAATGTCTTAACATACTCAGGAGATAATAAGCTCAAAAAGGGTGTCCCAGATTTTTGATATCTGTTTTATATCTCTCGCTATTTTTGATCAAAGTTCGACGATTGCTTTTGGAGTGTTGTTTAGAGTAAAAAGCGTCATAACTTTGGAAAGAAAATAAATTTCAAAAATTGGAGACACCTTTTTTGGATCATGAGTTACTTTATAAACTCTCCAAATTTTAAGAAGATCGAATGAAATCCAAGGGCCTTTTAGCTTTTTGAAGTTGAGGTTTTAGCGGCAAAAAAGATTCGAGAAAAATACATTTCTTTGTTTCCAGCCGGAAGCTGCAGGAGGCTACGATGGTGTTGGCCAAAACACCTGGAGCCTTCCATTTTGTCATCACTTGTCAAATTATCTCTTGTTCTGGACGATCGCAATGTAGGATCTTTTTACAAGGACAAAGGAGCATTTGGACTCGACGTCATTGGAAGCGACGGGACATTTCCGGTCTTTATAAAGTCACGATTTTGATTTGCCTCAAAATTTTGGCTTTTCCAATCAAAAATTGCAAGAAATTTCATAAACATATGAAAGACAAAAATTTAAAGTTACGAAATTTCAAAAAAAAATTTTTTTCGAGCAAATCGTCATTTTTCGTATCCTAATACCTTAACGACATAAGATTTCAATTCTGGTACCAAAGGTTTCACATGAGAATCCACAAATTGAGATCGTTTCAGTAGGCGTGCCGCATCCCGAGATCACTGGTCGGCCGGGACAACCCTCGTTGTTAATTTTCGTTTTCATTTCCCGTGTAGGATCCTTTGAAAATGGAATATAAACTTGCCTGTCTGTAAGTTGTCGTATCCCCTCTGATATGTATCGATCCTTGTCCAATACCACCACTCCTGAACCCTTATCTGCCTCCTTAATTATGATATCGTTGTCCATTTTTATATATTCTTGTCCATTAACACCACTCCTAAACCCTTATCTGCCTTCTTAATTATGATATCGTTGTCCATTTCTATATATTCTTGTCCATTACCACCACTCCGGAAACCCCTTATCTGCCTTTTATGATAACGTTGTATCTTCTAAGACTTTCTAAAGCCTATTGTTCTTCTCGAGTCAGAGTCCTGTTTTAACGTTCCTTGAATCAATTTGTCATAATCTTCCTCTCCAGTTTCTGCACGTATGCCTCCAACACCCGCACTCTGTTTTTATCCGTACACCAAGTGGCATTCTTTCTGAATGCCGGAACCTCCAAAAATCATTGTAAAAATACTCATTGAGTCGGACACGTGAAACATAGTCCTTAACATCTTTTCTTAAGGCATATATATCAATCTCCTTCGGTGTGGGGCAAAACCAGATAACAAAGACATTTCCGCTTCCGTCAAAACCCAGTTAGATATCCCACATTAATTCCCTGACATATCCCACAGCAACAAAAGTGAGTTAACCGGTATTAATATTGTTGCTTTTAATGGTTAAAACTATTTCATATATATATATATATATATGAAACAATAT